CCACCCTCCCTGCACAGGCTCTTCTAGAAACAAAAGGAGAAATGGTTGGTCTAAAATTTCCCACAAGATGCAGAGGAAACTGAAGGGCTGACCAGTTGCTACTGATTAATTCTTTTCATCTTAAAAAGCACCAGTTTTGGCTTGATGAAATGAGGACTTGGGGTGTACTGAGCAGGAGGGGACAGAGAAAGAACATGGATCGACAGTGTTAGTGGGGAGAAGTGTTGTGAGTCAGAGTTCTAGATGTGAGCCTTCCTGGGTTCGGGGTGCAGCGGCTGAGTGTGCTCTGAGCCCAGCCTCACTGAGACCCTAGGGCAATGCTCTAATCTAATGGGCAGAACCAGCAAGGGCTTACCAAAGAAACCGTTCCAGCCAATGGGTTAAAGTCTCACTCAGCAAGTTATTGTCACTTGGCTTAATGGCCCCGAAATCTTCAAATATTCACGGTGTCTCAGTGTATATACAGTTTCCCACAATTTTGTGTTTTTTTTTTCCTGTCCTTAATTTCAAAACTACTGAAGAGGAGAGGGATTAGCCTACACTCTTTCCCTCCCCGCTCCTGCATTCTCATACATACAAATGCTACGTTCAGTGGCTGTTTAGCTCGCTGCCCCCTCTCAGCCACGGGGAATAGAAAGCTCTGCTGCAGCAGCAGCAGCAGCAATCAGACACCTCATCCCAAGATGCCCCAGTCTGGCACAACCAGCCCTTGCAATGGTGTAATATTGTTTTCCTTGCCTGGTAATAAAAGCAGCTCTTTTATATATGATATAGAATAAAAGGAACTCAGAGAAACTTAGAATTTCTTATGCATGTAAATTTTATACGACCTCCTTAGGGCTATCGTGTGCAAAAGGCAGGAACGGATGTGTTTGGACAGGTCAGGAGATTTGCAGTCTGGATGAGGTACAAGCTGTCTTTGTCAGCTAGGTTATCTGCTCTTTGCTTCCTGTAGGAAAAACACGGTGACCTTCCCATCCCCAGGCAGGTTAGGGTGCTGAGCCTTGATCCCTAAGCAGGAGTGTGAACACAGCTAATGCAGGGTGGATGGCGGTAATGCACTGGTCCCGGGGTAAGGTCTCGCACCAGTGTGCTTCGGAGTGGTTTATGCAGAACAGTGGTTCTCAGGCAGAGATAATGAGGGAGTATCTACACAAGCCTCTCCCACTGTCAGATTTTAGGGGAGTACATGTGTGTGGTTTAGAAAAACCCACAGGTAGTCTGATCATTCCCCCCCCCCCCCCCACATCAATGAAAGGATAACTCACCAGAACAAGTGGAGAAAGGGATGTGTCAGAGACATCGGAAGCCCTAGACTCGGGGAAAACGACCAGGAGCGGCAGTTTCTCAGAACGCATCTTCCCCTGCACTGACTACCCAGTGTTTCCAAACACAGCTCATCTAAGAGTTTCACCAGAGCTTTCCCCAGGGCTCGGTAAGTAAGCCACAGCCTGGTGCTGGAATGCTCCGTTCCTTCTCGGTGCCACACTTTCCTCACACACTGTTCTGGGGACCGGTGACGTCAGAAGCCCTGAACACACGACTTATCTGGTTACAAGGAAAACTGCAGCTACGACGCCCCATCAATTGTTCCTTTAGACACTTCCAACCTTGCTTTAGAGGTGACTTTTTGTAAAAGTGGCAGGTAGATCAAGTTTCTATCTCTTGAATTTGTGTTAGGATACGTATGGCTCACTGTATGTACATACAGCTCACGATTAATTTTGCTTATTTTGCTAAATGTTCCATCTGCTTTTTTCATTTATTTCAAAAACCATGTACATATTGGACCTTTCCCGTTAGTCTGAAAGCAATATGCTTACTTCCACGTTGACTTGTTCTTGCCTATCAGGGTCTTAAATTGGCCAGAAGCGCTAGCCACTCTCCTGATTCAGAATCTTTCCAATTCTGCTCCTTGTATGCTCTTTTGTGGTGTGAATCCTGCTTACTTTAAATCCTGGACACGTAACTCTCCACTACTGTTTCATGGAGTCTGCATCTGCTGAGTTTAGTGTCTGTCCCTCCCTTATCCCTCAGATAAACTTTCTGAAATGCTGGCATGCAAGTTTCAGTTTTTGGTATCATACAGAACTGTTTTATCCTTTCTCTCAAACTTGTTTTAGGGGGAACAAGGTTGTCTCGGCGCTGACTTTCCTTTTGGACACCGGAGTCCCCTGGTGCTCATCTTTCCTTGGGACATCACCGTTTGTTCTGGCTTTCCTCCATATTTCTATTAGTGCGTGTATGAAACAGCGGGCTTACACATTTTTACGTATGCTAATAATTGCTTTGCTCAGATCTGTACTCACTCGCTCAGCCTGTGACCTCTGCTATCCCAGGCTCGCGGCTTCACCCGTCTGTCTGGATGTGGATTTATTTTGTTAAGGATTCATTGAGATTTGATAGAGGTTGCTTTCCCCAGTCCGGGTGAATCCCAAGGCTGTATGGAAAACGAGCACTTATTAGTTGTACAAAATAAGGACTTTCAAGACAGGGCCTCACTTCGTATCCCATGGTGGTGCAATCTGTGTCCTACCTCGGCCTTCATTAAGACATTTCCACAGATGTATGCATGTACTCTGACCCTGTGCAATCGTTATTATCCACCTCCTGTTGGCCCCATTCCTCGTCCTAAACAGCCCCTCCTCTGCACTCACACCTTAAGAAAGATTCTGTAAGCAATGGCTTTCACTATCTGTCCTAGCCTGAGTAAGTACCTTACTTTACATGATGGTCTTCAGTCACTTCCATTTTCCTCAGAGGATGTTTGTTGTTCTTTATGGCTGAATCAAAGTTACTGTGGAAATATACCCCATTTGCTGTTGAGGGACACTAAGATGGTTCCGTAACTGGGCTATTGTAAACAAAGCAATAGACTTGAGTGTGCCCTTCTGTAGACAACTTGGTATTTTCCAGGTAACTATCCACTCTCATGTAAACATCACCAAATCCCATGAACCTGATACCCCGCCCCTCACTCTTAATAAATGATCCTGCCACCCAGAGATGCTGAAGGTAGAAAACAGGAGCATCCTCCACACCTCTCATCCTCTCTCTGGAGCAATACCTAGAAGAGGCAGGTCTGGAAATGGCATTTATCTGACACACACAGCCAAATTTAACATTTCACTAACAGAACTAAACTTTATTTCCATGTATATTACATGTTATCTTTGATGCTGAGTACATATTAGAATTGACTTAACATACAGCTTGAGAGGAAGTCTGGTATTCTCTACCAAATGGGTTAAAAAGGAATGTAAAGCTACAAAATACTAGTTTACGTGACTTCTAAGTTACGGTAAACACAACGAATGCCTTGCTATTCTAATTTTCTAAGATGGATTTAACTATAAAAGCTCTCTTCATAACAGTTTATTCAAAGAAAGGAAGGGTTACCCATAAAAACGTTTTACTTTAAATATAGGGTACAGATAACACTTAACACAAAATCCTCAAGTTATGAATTGGGGCGGGGCTAATACCAACTGCAAATCTAGTGTCTTAAATCTGCCTATGTTATCTGCTTTGTCAGGAAGGGTTAGGCCAATCCAAGGGTGACACACAGCGCAATCCTATTTGACATTTCTGTCAGCCATGTGGTACTCAGAAGGGCGATGGCCAAATGCTGCTTAGTGGCAGAAATTCAAATTTTGTCAGTTTCAAGGGGACCGGAGCCAAGAGAAATTGCTCATTCCACTCCTGGGCCCATGAGCACAAATGCAGACTTCTAGTTTATACTAAACATTTTAAGATAAAACTGGTGTACCACACCAACGACAGGTTCATGCAGTTCTCTGAAAGCCTTGCAGCATTCTGTGGAGCTGTGTCTCCTTGGGCAGAGACAAGGGTCTACACGGCTCAGGCTGGCTCTTCTGTGTATACCTCAGGTACTGGGATTACCACTGCCTACACGATGCCTACCTAGGACAAGCCTTTTTAGTACTACTAACCTTAAGTACACTTTAATTTTCTTAGGGATGAAGAGGCTAGCCTGGAATCTGCTATGTAGTAGACGCAGGCAGCCCAGGCTAGCCTGGAATCTGCTAATGTAGTGGATGCAGGCAGCCCAGGCTATCCTGGAATCTGCTATGTAGTAGACACAGATAGCCAAGGCTACCCTGGAATCTGTTATGTAGTGGACGCAGGTAGCCGAGGCTAGCCTGGAATCTGTTATGTAGCCAAGGATGATGTTGATTTCTGATCTTTCTGTCTCTACTTCGGTTCAGGGATTTCAGGCATGCACACCACACCATGCCCAGGCTGATTAAATTACATTTTATTTGTTTTAAAGTCAGTTTAAGATTTTTTTTAACCATGTATTATAAGGATTACTAAAAGTAAGTAATGCTTTCTATTCTGTTAAGTTTTAGGATCACCTGCAAAAACCCGAACTTACTTCATTAGACCAGAGGTATGCTCTCAGGTAACGTTCGTGACTTATGGCTTTTAAAACTTCCTATTAAGGGCAAGCTGTTAAATCCTTTCTAAATTGGGCTTCTAGTATCAGATAGTTAATTGAGAAAGAACAAGAGAAACTCCATAAAATCCAGCTTCTTCCTTCCCAGAAAAACCAACATCTCTCTTAAAATGCAAAGGCATGCTCCTTTTCTCAGAATACAGGCTAGCGAGCTTTCTGGGTTTGTGTTTAGTGAACAAAGCGTGAATTCCAGACTTGTGGACTGTGTGGTCTCTACTATGGCTACTCCATTTCTGCCACGGAAGTGGGAGGCAGCCTTAGACAGAACATAATCAAAGAGGAGCCAAGGTGGCCTGCAGGGCCCTAGCACTGACCCAGTGTCAGGTGTCACCCTGAAGAAGTCAGTGTCCTGTTTGCAGGGGCCGAATCAGGGTCTAGCAGTAAATCACGATCAATATTTTGACCTGGATATTTTAAATTTAGCTACATCTCTGGTTAAGGAAGATTCCATTGGGGATAACATCAAGAACTTAAGTATTAGTTACTGAGGATTTAATTTAAAATTAATAAATGATGTCCATACAGTTTAATATCCAATTTAATTTTTTAAAAACTTAATGAAAATATAACAGAATCAAAACATTTAAAATAAGTACACTCACTACTACCCACTCCAGCAATTTATTTAAGTCATACCAACTATAGAATATGAAAAATAAATTCAGAAGAGTAATTACTTTAAAATACACTACTTCCACTTTCAATATGTTACATTTATGTATATATTCTATAGTGGAAGCAGAAATTCTCTCTAAAAACATTATCTTCTTAAAATCTTGAGGTGCATATTAGAGCCACAGGCAATATCTGACATATAAAATTGCAGAACAGGCCTTTCGAATTTGGCATTTCACTGGTACAGTACAATGACCAAGGTGTAGGACTGTACAATGCCTAGACATTCGAGTAAGAACCATCATTCCCTTCGATGTAGAATGACTGGTGCATATTCTACAAGGGCAGTGAGTTAGGAATTCTGCTGGGCATATGTCCTGACATAATTTCCAAATGTACAACAACACAAACAACTTTGTTAAGGCCATGTTTTATTTGCTGATTAATGGACAAAAGGCAATGTAATTTATTTTCAAGTATTTTCTTGAAAGTCTGTGCTCATAAAAATCATGAAAAGTTGGAAACAGACTGTTAAATCACTGAAACTTTAAATATATCTTACACAATCTCGTTTGTACAAAAATACAAGTTAAATATAAACATAAAGCAGTCATGGTAATTTATGCAAATCTGTTTGATGTGATCTGCAGTTATATATAAAAGTTTCTTGGTTCTGTGACTTGTGAAAAGGTCAACACAGACCGAGTTACTATCTCTAAGCAAAGGGCACTAAAAAGCTTGCTTTAGCATTAATCTTGTACATGGTTACACGTGTTTCCTAATTTGAGATCATCTAAACGTTGTGGGAAAAATAAAAGGGCAGTATGTCCATAAACCAACAAATAATCTGGCTGTAGTATATCATAAACACAAACGCACGCATCTGTACACTGAACATGTTCTCACATACACACAAGCACACACATAGTGCACGTATGTGTACACATACCGCACAAACACCCAGGCCTAGTGAGGGGCCACATCCTGCTCGATATTCAGCTGCGCGTTTTTTCTGACTTCATCAAATGAATAGCTTTTTGTCACCTTTCCATTCTTGAAAACCGTATGGAGAAGATCCTGCAGAATGTAAATTATCATTAAAAAGACCATTAAATATCTGAATTGTGCTTTGACCAATTTACCTAAGAGGTCAAACACAGAGCTGCTGAGAGCGGCCACTGACACAGTGGATTATGATAAACATTCTCAGGCCAGTTTCCTCAAAGGCAGCAAAACACCAGATGCCCCGCATACCTTTGTACCTCGGAAGAGACATTTGCTCAGAAAAGCTACCACTGTCCCTGCTAAATTCTTCCTCAATGCTGCTTAGAGCAGTCAATCTAGACGTTCAATAAATTTGTTAGCCATTAAATTTTGGCCTTAAAAAAAGGATAAAATCCAAAAACCAAAGCCAAGACAGAAACATAGAAAAATAGAAACTTTTTGTTCTTATTTATGGTGACCGAGACACAAAGATTGTAACTGCAAAGTCAGGATAAACATCAACAGAGATGAGGACTGAATTAGTTTCTATATAAAAATCCACTGAAACTGAACTTTCTTCCTTACAGTACACATGACATTCACTGCCATCTAATGTGCTCTAAATTGCACCTATACGCAGCACTTTCTTTTGTGAGTTTCAATATAAACCACCAGGGAGTGCTGGTGTTTAAAAGCCTCCACGACCACAGAGGTCACCACCATCATACTGACTGGACAGATGCTCGGGTACTTCTCAAATTCTGTGCTTCCTCTGACTTAGTCTCAACTGGCTTTGCTTCACTTGAGATGACCCAATTCAGCAGAACCCTGGTAGCTCCAGTTGTTATGTGAAATCTACTCAAAGAATTGCTGGTGGGCTACATAAAAAGATTTAATTCTAAAAACCTCATTTACAAGTTCACATCATTTTCATATAAAGATGGATTATTTTATTAATTCCAGCCTCAAACCTTAAAAGACAAGGAAATAAACTGTCGTGGGCAGTCATATCTGCACAGTGTCCTCACAGCACCAGCTGGGCGCTCGCGTCTGAAGAACATAAACACGCAAACTGCAGCCCCCTCCATCTAGTGGCTCGGAGATCGGCAATCTTTCCACACTGAGCACACTAACGTGTACACTAACGTGCACACTAATGTGTACTTACGCTGAAGACCATAGACCACGCGCTATACGTTCTTTCCAGTCTGGTTACTAGATCAGAAAACTCAGTGACGGCTCTTCCTTGCTAGTTAGATAATATGAATCAGTCCACTCTCCTTTTATGTTACTAAGACAATTTGCTTTTCTTTTTTAAGCTCATAATCCCATGAGAATTGAAAAAGACCAGAGAAAACCACCTGAAATGGTTATTAAAGTTCTAAAGAAACAATTCCTTTCAAACAGGTTTCGAACTAGTCCATTTTAAAGTTATATTTTACTTTAACACAGTCATGTGAAGTCAAAGAACAACATTTAAAAAGTCCTATTTGCTATGCTGCTTTAAAAACCATTCACCGACAGCTAACAGTAGGATTATGACCCAATATAAAAAAGTCTGTAAAAGCTATCAACGTCTATCACGTTGGCCACTATGTGAAAAAATTATTTCAATGTCACAAAACTGTGAAAGTATAACACAAAAACTCCTCTTTCCCTTTGAAAAGGCAGTCCACTACCATTAAAAACTCTAGTCAACAGGTACTCACATGGCCATATTCCTCAAGGTCTCCTTTTCCTTCTTCAAGCGTGACGAAGTTCCCTGCTGGTGTCCTGTGTAAAGATAATCGGCCCTTTTTCGACCTTTTGTTGGGGTCAGCAACTGGGTCCTTAAAGACATTAACCTGAAATCGAAATCGAGAGAAATGATGAACCATCATCTAAACGTCTCTAAAAACACGTATCCCTTTCGCTGCCAGAGCTCTCACCTGCAGGCTGGTGGGATCCCTGGCTAGAACTGGTTTTTATTTTATTTACCTATAGTACCACAAGTATAACATCATTCCACAACTGACCCATTAACTAGCCTGTTTTCCTTCAAAATAGTCATGGTATAGAAACCCAAATCGTGACTATCTTTTACAGAAGGATCTGGAGAAATTTACCATGTGGCCCTTATATTACAGATAATAAACACATCTTTATACACTGTATAGAGAACTAGAGTATTTAAGATAAAGACACGCTGTGCCACAACCTTTCCCTTTTGTTACTTCCTTTACTGCAGTTAAAAGGCAGGAGATACAATCAAGGGGGGAGGGGATGCTGGCCTGACCCTCGCACGAAGAGGCAGCAGCTGGAGAACCTGCTGGGCATGGTGGCACACGCCTGTAGGCCCAGCCCTTAGGAGCACAGACAGACAACTGCTCCAGATTCGCATCTCGTCAGGGCCACACTGCAGGACCCTGACTCAGAACAGTGACAACAATGAAAGACTTCTGGACTGAGGACAGTGTAATGTAATAGATACACAGACAGATCCAGAGAGGAGGGAGGCAGAGCACTAACGGACGGGAGAGCAACAGAGAAGACAGCTCTGGGTTCTCCAAAGAAAGGTAGAGGGCGGTACACAGGCTTTCTTAAGGGTTTTCACCTATTTATATTTTCTTTCAAAAATTTATTTTAAATTTTAATTCATACTACATACCAACAACAGCCCCCCGACTCCTTGCTACCTACCTACCCCACCCACTCCTCAGAGAAGGTGAGGCTTCTCATGGGGAGTCAACAAAGCCTGGCATATCAAGTTGAGGCAGGACCAAGCCTCCACTCCCCCCCCCCCACCCCCGTATCAAGGTCTCCCACCACACCAAGCTACAGAGCTGTCACCCACAACCAAGGGCCTAGTTCTGTCCCATGCCGGCTCCCCAGCTGTCAGTCCAGAGTTCATGAGCTCCCACTAGCTCGGGTCAGCTGTCTCTATGGGTATCCCAGCTATACTATGGTTACTGAACGATTCCAGTGTTACAATCAGAAGCTCAAACCCCACCCTGATAATAGGATCTTGACAGTGATTGACAGAAGAAAAGCGGAAGGACGCACCCCAAGGCCGTTGGTGACAACGTAGCTGCACTTGAAGGAGCAGTTCAAGAGGTCTCTTGTTAACTTCTGTAGCAAAGCTCCGCCAGAACCAAAGGAGACGTTTTCAATACTCCACTTTTTTTGTTTCATTCCCTCTACGATCTAGAAGATAAAAAACAAGCAAACGAATGATCTGGAAGACAACGAAGTTACCTTCCAAGGGCGACACTGTGAGACCCCCACAGTTGTCTGTACCAGTCAGTACTTAAGAGAAGCCTTGGCAGGTAACAGCACACACTCACTTCTTAAAGATCCACGCGGGTTGCAGTGGATGTGTGGAAGGAGGGTTCACTTGCAGATTTTCAGTGTATAGTAGTCAATGCAGTCAGGCTGAGAGTGAAGGAGCAAGAAAACTGGCTATATGTATACCTAAGGCTTCCTGAGCCCTCCCAGCCACCCCAAAGCTACTGCCCAATGCCGGCCGGCAACAAAAGCTGCAACGCTTGCCCCAGATGGCTAGACTCTAGGGGTTTCCACCCATCACAATACATCAGGGTGCACGGCGTTAGTACATGTAACAGTTACTGTATGTAAGGCACAGGTCAATGGTTATGGATAGGAGCCCATAATATCCGCTTGTACCAACAATGACACTGCTGACTCACTTCAACTGCCTCGTGCGCCAGTGCATACACAAAATTATGCATGACACTTTAGATGTTATGATTTATGACTGGGTCACTGCAAAGGAATGATTATCTACAAGCCGGCTGGAGAGACAGCATGGCACACAGTTCTTCCAAGGGATGCAAGATTTAAAACTGCAGTGAAGCCGTGGTATCAGCGCATTTGTGTTTCTCTGCGTGGGGCTTATTTATCAACCATGTACCTCTAATTTACAAACAAATCCAATCACTTTCATAATGAAACAGGAAGTGAAATTTATTAACCATTTTCTGAATTTCATGAAAAGCCATGTTCTGTTTAAAAGTCCAATTTAAAAAGAATTTTCAAAGTGATTAAGGCAGAGGCCAGTTATGGCTTTAAAACGAATCATTTACATGTTCTCCCTGCACACTAAGTCTCAAATCGATCTTTGGATTTTCAACACTGTAAAAAGAAACAAACCCCAAACACCATCATGTGTTAATAATCCAACCCTGAGAAATGCAATCATTTTAAAACCCAAAATTCTACCCATCTCTTTGTGTGTGTCTGTATTTATTCTTTTCTTTTTAAACCAAAGTATGCTTTTCAATGGGAAGAATTGAGGTAAAGACCACAGCTTACTTCAAAGCGATTCCTTTAGGTTTTATACAAATCTTGGTTTGTGCCTGAGAAAGGCATGGAGATTCTTGTGCTCACACATGAGGACCAGGGGAACCAGGAATTAAACATACAGGATTGTCTCTTCAAACAGAGATACAGAACCTGGCCGGGACCAAGGCTTGCCAACCTACAGAACCTGTTTTTGTGGAAGATGTCACATGTAGTTCATCTATAGACCCCATCTTTCTGGAAGATGTCACAGGTTCTTTATAAAGAGTATCTTAAGCTTTATTATACACACAGGATTGAGTTTTCTATCATCAGAAAAAAATTTCTCCAAATTGTGCTGTGCTTAAATACACCTAAAATAAAGTGCTTGGGGCCAGAGTGTTGAAGTCTGAGTCAGCGCTGGCTACTTCGCTGTGTTTCCTGCCCCCGTGGTGGTCACCTCCCAGGACAGTTTCACACCACGGCTGCCAGCTCCGTGTTCTCCCTCTGCAACACGCCAAAGTCGCTCACAAACAACCCGAAGGGAAAATCAAGGTGGAAGTAAACAGACAAACTATCCTCTTGTGTTCTCCCTCTGCAACACGCCAGAGTCGCTCACAAACAACCCGAAGGGAAAATCAAGGTGGAAGTAAACAAACTATCCTCTTGCTGCATACTCTGTTTTCACATTTCATGCAGAGGTAGTTAAGTTAGCCGAGGAGCCCTTAGGATTTAATTATCTGTTACTATCACCAACATGAATTGTGCTCCAGTGAGCAAGTGCTTTTCACGTTTTATGTATTTATGTGGGTCAAAGAGTAATTTGTTCTTAACATTTACATCAATCAGTGTCTTCTAGCAAGCTTCTGATCAAAGTTGTAATTCACGGAAGAAACGTGAGAAATGCAGACAGAAGGGCTTCAAGACAAGGGTGTAGGGCAGCTGACAGGAAGGAAAAGCTGCCTGGCCTGTATGTAAGATTTTAAGAAAGGACAACTTGAGAATAAAAACTTTGGAAATCTGTTACACTGCAAGGAAATCCTCTTTTTGTTAGATGAAGTAGTCCCCCACTGCCAAAGTTAGGAACACTAATTAACATATACAGAGGAAACTATTAAGAATAATTCCTTTTCCTATCTCTAAAACCACATGACTAACTTCCAACATGAAAAATCAAGTACTGTCCTCTGGGTATGATGGGTTTCACATATGTCCCCAAACTGCTTTGCTTTGAGAACCAGTGTAAGATATTCTCCCTGTACCCAAGTGTCCAAAGAACGACTTGTCACCTATGGTCAGCTTCAGCTGCCAGTCTGACACAGGTCTAGAGACACAGGGAGAGAAAGGCAGCAGAGTGTGGGGTCTGGAACCATTAGCCCCCCACCCTGATCTAGATAATCCTTCACTGAGACTCTGTTCCCAAGTGACCCCAGACTGTGTCATGGTGACAACTCTCATACATATTCTGGGCTCATCAAATAAAAAGGCTTTATTCTGTTTCTCTTCAGAATCACAACAGAAGGTGGCTACTGAGGCCTGGAGAAGTATGTGTTGGTTGCCATTTCTGTATTTTAAGCTACTATTATTTCTAGACACCAAAGGTTTTTACCATCTTAAATATTAAAAATAAGTTCACAATTGCATTTAAATTTGAATGGGCAACTTATGAATCCAAATAGCTGTGTCAAGATCATTCAAGTGGAGCACACCTACCTCTTGCAAGGTGTTGATATCCACGCCGTCTCCCTGAATGACTCTCAGGTACGGGGGCAGCAGCTTGTAGCCCTTTGAGTTCTCAGTGACAGGAAACTTCTTACCTAAAATATCTAAGACCTGCATGAAAAAACAGAACACAAGTAACTAAGAGAGGGAGGGAGGCTTCCCAAGCTAGGAATTATTTTTCTTTATTACACAATTTTGAGAATATAAAAGTTCAATGACTTAAACAATCTTAAACCACATATAAACCTTTATAAAATTTGGTTGCAATGACTTTTAACCACATTAGAAAAAGGTGTGAGCTTTCCTATTTTGTCAATTTGTATCATTAAATTAGCGCAACACAGGTTTTTCTTCACATCTTTCAAATTATACAGATTCAAGCAAGAAAATCTGTAATATTGAAACAACATATATATATATTAAGGAAGCATGTAAGGTATAGCACAACAAACCCCTAGTTATGCCTCTGATTTGGACTCTCTCTGCTTGTGGCCAATGGTTGTTTGGTTTACATTTGTCTGATGCTGAGCCACAGAACTGAGAACAAGACGGACACAAAGCGCATACAATGTGCAGTTTGTCCACAGCTCTTCGCTCTAGGAAAGCTGGCCTGCGTGATATGTGAGCTACTCCAAGCCATGGCTGCCATTCAGCATTTTATCACAGCGCAAACCCTTAAACAAAGATCTGAAGTTGATCAGGAAAACTTGGTCAGGGCTGGAGAAGACCTATCGGCTACACCCCTTCCACACAATCCCTGCCTTTCTTGACATAAACTGCTAATAAGAGATCCTAATGAAAGTTCCACATAATGGCTTTCTTATTATAACCACCACGATGGAAATAAAAAAGCTGTTTAGTTGTCCAAAGTGAAACACTTCAGGCTAAGACATTGAGACTAGCTGTTTACAGAATTAAAAAAGGCTTCATTAATCTATGCTCCCACTTCCTACGAGAGAGAGAGAGACCTTGGGGGGGTCATTTTCTCCTTACAACAGAGATGGTCAGAGCCAGCAGTGGTTTTTTTTTTTTTTTTTTTGGTGAGATTAAAGGAAACTTTCTGGAGTCAAGCACCAACAGGAGTTCTCTGTAGAAGAATGGACACTTTGTAAGACAGGCGAATCAAGCCCTGGACACTAACAGGCAGCTCTGCTCAGAGACAGTCCTAGTTCTAGTTGAGCAGCTCTGAATTATTTGTGTTCTTCATTACCACGAACAGACGCCTTCTGTACTAACAACAGGCTGTAACAACAATTTCTAATATAATAAACCACAAATAATCCACAAAGACGTTGATTAAAGCACAAGCCAGATTAAGATTAATTCTGAGGGCACACAAGGAAGTATTCACTGGCCCTCAATCATCTACTTGACGATATGTAAATAAACTAACTTGTAGGTGGAGACTTTGTCGTTTCCCGGATGCCCAGAGCTGAATAATCACACAGAAACTATATTAATCACAACACTGCTTGGTCAACGGTTTATGCGTATTCCTAGCTAGCGCTTACATCTTAAATCAACCCATTTCTTTATTCTATGTATCACCACAAGGTTGTGGCTTACCAGGTAAAGTTCTGGCATCTGTCTCCTTCAGCAGCTACACAGCATCTCAACTCCACCTACCCTTTCCACATCTCGGTTCGGATTTCCTACCTGGCTTTACTCTGTTAAGCCATTGGCCGAAACAGCTTTATTCATCAGCCAATAAAAGCAACACATTTACAGAACGGCATCCCACACCACTAATCTCTACCTCCTTTCACTGCAATAACATGTGACCTTGGGCAAATCTACTGCTGTCTGTCTGAATTACAGCTCAGTGAAGCAGCCGGTGCACAGGCATCTCAACAACGCACATCACGACTCACCTTCAGTACAGTGTCCAGCGGGTTCCCGGAATCAGGTCTGATGATGAGTGGCGCCTCTGTACTTCTCGATACTATCAAATGTCTGAGGTCTTCACCCCATATTTTCTCACAAGCGTTATAAATGTCATAGCTGTCGCTGACCACAGACACAGGCACTGATGAGAACTGTGTCACTATGTGTTCAAAAGCATCTTTCTCATGGTCTTTCCCCCACGCTGTTATGGTACTAGAAAACAAGTGAAAAATGCAGGTTAACTCAGGCAGACATGAGACCGATTCTGAGGCGTCATTAACCACTGTCTTCAGTGTACCAGCCCATCAGTGTCACAGAGAAGGGGTTCAGTTAATAAGTGTACGTCGGAAGGCAAATGCAGGATCTGCACTAAACCACCCCTGCCCAGTTTGCTTCCAGCACTACAAGTTAACAATACTCATCTTAGTAGTTACTGTCACTTAGCTCTCGGATCAACAGTTAACCAATTATAAACTGGTTTGTTTCAGCCTCCTTCAACCTAATCAGAGTCAGCGAGCATACACAGCCTCCCACCTTCATGGCAGGATACTGGAAAGGGTGAATACATACTCCCATTTTCCCAGCAGTGTAAGTACTGGGTTCTTTTTGAAAATGCCTAATTAATAGTAAGTTACAGCTGAATAAATAATCACAGCACTTGGGAAATGGAGGCAGTGTAAGTTCAAAGCCAGCTTGGACTGCATGAGGTGCTGTTAAAAATCAAACAAGCCAGCATGGTGTGCAACCTTCATCCACCTTCTCAATCTACTTGTCACACATATCTATTTTAGTCTTTACTCCCCTAAAGCATGTATACATGTTATCATAATGTTTGGCAGATAGTAAAATATGAAAAAGTACTAGTCAAAAATGCTCAATCAAATTTGATTATTTCCTTAAGAAGTCAAGATCTCACATATTGTCTCTATAAAAGCTTTTCTGATCCTGTCAATGGATATGAACCTTCCTCGTTTGAGACTACTGTGAACACCTTAATTGTGCCTCTTTAAATAAAAGTTCTTAGCAGAGCAGACAGTTCTTCGTGACTATTTTTTCTTGAGGGGTCAGCTGTGCACCGTTCTGTCCTTGCTGATCCGACAGTGACGAGTTAATGTGCACTCAGCTTACTCTACACTGAAACACACAGGACTTTAGGCATTCTCCAATGACTGTATTAAATGAGGTTAAGAACCAGAAGCAAAGTTTGACATATACTTACTACACATTGTTCACTTTCTTTTCTTCTTTTTGTGTTTTGAGACACAGTTTCTCTTTGTAACAGCCCCAGCTGTCCTGGAATTCCCCTCCCACTGTAGACCAGGTTGGCCTTGAACTCAGAGATCCACCTGCCTCTGCCTCCCAAGTGCTGGGATTAGAGGCATGCACCACCACTGCCAGGTTACACTGTTTACCTTTAATAAGGGGAACTCTAGAACCAGAGGGTTATAATTTCCTAGTGTTCCTTGAGATAACGCTAAGAGTAAGAAAGTAAACACAAGAGAATCGTGACACCTTCCTCCCCATTAAAATGGCTTACTTATCCAGAATTGAAAACACTGGTCCAGATGACAATCTCCTGGGCAAAGGTAGGGGAGATCACACAGAAAAGTGGGGAAAGAAATCAGTACTTTACAGTGTTTCCAGATTTCAGCTAATAAAGAACATTGTATCTGCATATACAATGTAGCAAATATAAAAACCATTCCTTAAATGCGCTTCAATCTGTTTACTAGAGTGGTTCAAAATCCCAGCCCTGCCTGATCCTCTCTCTATAAAAGTGAGTACTCATTTTGTTCTGTTTATTCCATGGAAGTATATTTAGCGTCTGGCTCTGTTGTCAAATCAGGTGTTGCTGAGTCACACATAACAAATTCAAACCAAACATTAGAAAGCAATTAGTTTACAGGACCAGAGATAGGACCAGGGGCCTTGTGCATGCAAGGCAAGTGTTCAAACATTCAACACGAGAACAGACTCAATTTTACCTGTGCTCTGCCGCTGGAACAGAATAGCCCGGCACAGGATCTTTTGTTCCGTAGTATTTTTTAATCAGAGCGATTCCTGCCACTGTATCTGTTCCTTTGAAGTTGACTAAATGAGCAGAAGCCCCTATGCCAGCAGTCTGAAGATCAACCACAAACGAAAATTCAAAACAGGAGCTAACACCCATCAGTCTCATCCCACTTCCCACCGCAATTTCTCTACCCCATGCTCGTGCTCTACACAGTGTTCACTGCGCCTGTCTGTCTCCCTCACCTAATGTGTGAAGAACCGGATCATGTATTTAGAGGTATGTTCTATATACTGAGACCCTCCACCTAATGTGTGAAGAACTGGATCATGTACTTAGAGGTATGTTCTGTGTACTGAGACCCTCCGCCTAATGTGTGAAGAACCGGATCATGTATTTAGAGGTATGTTCTGTGTACTGAGACCCTCCACCTAATGTGTGAAGAACTGGATCATGTACTTAGAGGTATGTTCTGTGTACTGAGACCCTCCGCCTAATGTGTGAAGAACCGGATCATGTATTTAGAGGTATGTTCTGTGTACTGAGACGACACACAGCAGTTAGTTATCTGTTGACTAAGCCTCCGGAGTTGTAAGAAATGGCCTACTAAAAGCAAGTTCATCCCCAGTGACATTCTGAGAAGCTGGCAGTGGCCTCTCAGTTTGGTTTGGATGAGAATGCTCCCTACACATAGGCTCAGATATCTGAACACCTGGTCGCCAGCGGGTGGTGCTGTTTTGCGAGGCTTCAAGAGCTGAAAGCCCCGTGACACTTCCAGTTTTCTCACTCTGCTTCACGCTTGTATGCGAAACTGTGAGCTCTCAGGTCCGGGTTCCTCCTGTTGCACCTCTGCCTCCCCACCATGAGCTCTCATCAACTTTCTGACATCTACTGCTTCTGGTAATGATGTTTTCTCGCAGCAACAGGAGTAGCTAATACAGTACTGACAACTCACACTGAATTCCCTGAGACCCGTTTTGGTTTCTTACCTCTTGTGAAGAGACTCCTCTGTAACCAAAATCATGTAACTTGTATTCCAGACCATCTAAGTTACCAGAAGTTTCTAACAAGTATTTGGCCAGTATTTTCTTCTGCTCTCTTGAATTTGTGGCCACTGTAATTGGATACCAGGACTGAACGAGAATAGTCTGTAACAACAAAATTAACCACATTATTAATATAAAATACTGGGTTCCTTCTGGGGAAATCACGGCTTACTTCTGGCCTTAGGAAGCCATCAGCTCCCAAGAAAAGCACCGTCGCTGCAGATGCAGCTACTGCTCGACTGCTATAGCAGCAGAGAGAAGTGAGCACTCTAAGCCTCAAGTAACTCCAAAGAAAAGTTTTGATTCAAATTGCAATTTGCCATGGACGGGCAGATTAACACTCAACGCCGAGCAAGGTCACACCGTCCTAAGTTCCTCAGCGTATTCTTGATTCCTTGACTTGGGTGGGCCAGCACCTGATGGGCCCGTGACTGACGTAGAGTCTAGGAAGCACCCATTTAATAAAGCAGTCAGGTCTCAGTCCTGTAAACTGACTCGGTCCTAGCAGTGCTGTGACGTTAGAGACCCATGCCTGACACCCCTAGTCTTTACAAAGCCCGTCAGAAGGAAGCCACGGCAAGCGTTCATGTGGGACGTGTTAGAACTGCTAGAGCTCCTCTGCAGTCTCACTTCTTTCTGGGCTGCCGGAAAACTCCAAATTCAGGCTGCTGCATACCCCTGGAATCACACTAGTTATTTGTCTTGAACTTACTATTTTATTCTAGGATGATAAATTTCCATTTATTTTCTAAGCCTGATAGTATATTACCAGAAACAGCTTCCAATCTACTGTAGAAAAAGCTAAGACAGCATTACAAAACTAGTAGTGGTATCTGAGCTGGACCAAAAAGGGAGTTCATTTCTGATATAAATTTTATAAACTTACCAAACAGAAGCTAAGTGATTAGTAAATGAAACCGATGGAAAGAGATTACTGGATCTCAGACAAACAACTCATCTAAAAGGCAAACTTCTGTGGCTTTAGGTTCCTGTGGCTGAATCAATATGGTGCTCAAAGCGCCTCTCCTCATTGGAAGCTCTAGTCCTCATCCCTTGACTCTGGACTATTCTGTGATCAATCGTGTCTCTTTGGCTCTCTCTCTTTTACCAAAACACAGTAGCAGTCAGATTATGGGACTTCCTATTTCAGGACTCATTACTCACCTTGGGGACACCCACCTAGTCACTGATGGACCACTTAGTCGTAAACTAAAAGTGACCAATGTGCTTCCTGCTTGAGGCTTTGAAGAGAAAATGCTGTCTGAATGTACTAACTGACAGACAGTGTGGTTAAGAACCATCTGCTACAAGGAGGAGGATATAGCTCAGCCAACAAGTGCGTGTTTAGCTCGTACAAGGCCCTGTGCCCTGGGTTCCATCTCCGGCACCACCAAAACAAAACCCTCCACACCCTTTACCGTTGTGCTTTTACATTATCATTCCAATATCAAAATCTGCCAATCCAAAACTAAGATTTGTTGTCATTTACTTCAAGTTCACAGACAGTACAGACCAATTAAAATTTACATTTTAGCCGACTGTACCTTCTTTCCTGGGCCTGTTTTAAGCCTCCTCTTAGTTGATCGCACTCAAAAGTCTAACAGCATTTTAAATTCTGTCGCCTTAGTAAAAGGTTTTCAAACATATTCTTGAGTCTTATTTTTCCAAAATCTTACTTTATGCAGTGTAATAATAAATTATTTTCGTCACTACTGAAATGCTGACATTAGCCACGTAAACAGCACCCAGCGACTCGGTCCCTTCCTCCACAGATGACCAGTGCAGCTTCCACCAGGAAGCTTGAGATTACATCATCATCATCAAAATTACTGGCACTGTGACAACATGGAGCCAGAGATACACGTAAGGAAACCCAAAATACCTACTACATATGTGCCCTTCTTTTAGATTTAGAAATCAAACAGTAAGAACATAGAATGTTTGTTTTTAGATTAGAAGCTGAAAAATTCATTGAAAGATCAGTGAATGAACTGGAACAGAATGGCCACCAGAAGTCTGCATGGTTAAAACGGAACTTAGTTTGCTCTAAGCTAGTATACACGGAGACTGCCAATGGGTCAGCTGGCCTGGGGCAGCAGCTGTTTGGGAGGCCAAGGCAGGAGGACAGCTACTTCCAGACCTGTCTGGACAACTTGGTGAGACCTCGCCTCAAGAATTTTCTTGAAAAAAGGGCTGGAGGTGTAATTTAGTGGAAGGGTTGTCTAGTGTGCACTATGCCCTGGATTCTGGTCCCAGCAGTGCCAAAAGAAACAAAAGGAATTATAAGACCAATGTCAACAGAGCTCACTCACTTGATTTAGGGCTCTCATAAGATCATACTTCATCAGAAGGACAGTAAAAACACTGCGTTCAAATATCACTCACTGATGAGGAAGCTGAGACAGGAGTCAGTGCAGATTATACAGCCTTACCAGTGACAGCAAGCTTACAGGACCCAGTGGTCTTTATGCTCAATCACCACTTAAACAAGATTCCGAATAAAAGCCAAACCCACTCACCTCAATCCAGTTGGTGAGCCAGTAGCACTCAGGGTCTGTGTTCTCCACAGTGAACAGCACATTCCCTCTGGGGATGACAGAGCCCTCAGGAACAGCCTTTACTTCAATTGGGAGATGACCATCGTATTTCTGGCAGGAGGCAACAGCACCAATATTCACTCATTCAACAGTTGCCTGTTATGCCAGTGGTTTTTTTTTTTTTTTTTTTTTTTTTACATCTTATGGAAGCTAAATTTTTACCACTGCAGAAAGTATAGATGTCATTAAATCATTAGCAATAATCTAGTTAGTCAGAGTATCCTGCTTCTAAAGTGAGTCAGAATGAGTAACTCAGGCACCAATCCAGCTCCTCAGTTCATGCTGTTACTGCTACCAACACCTACCACTTTGATCAACACTGATCAAAACAGCATTTCCCTGACTTGTTCAGAAAGAGAGAAATTTCATTCTACCATACTGTCTTACAACTTGTTCCACACAGGTCATTTTCATACATGAAAAAGAAAGGAAGATTAAAGGCTAGTGTGCAAGAACACACAAAGAAAAGGAGATCACTAAAGAGGAATTTTAAGTAAGACTTATCTTTTTCCTGGCAAGTAGACATTTAAAGCCACGAAGCCCCCGACATTCAATGGCCAAGTCTAAGTCACTGCCCTGATAACCTCATGTGTTTGAACACTTGGTTCCCAGATGCTGGGACTGCTAGGGAATTTGGATGCTCAGTGCATGATAGTAGAGTGAAAAACAAGGCTGAACTCACTCAAGGAGCTGCACCACACTATTCTACTTGCTGAGAGGAGGATCCCAGAATTATGTTGTGATAAACTCACAGCATCTACTTTCAACTTGAGGAAGTTAGAAATAACCTATGAAACTGCCAAGTAACTCTATCCTTTAAAAATTATTAGTGTCTCTCCATTTTAAGGTATATTTTCCAGAAATGTATTAAATTACCTCTCAAAAAGTGAGTTAAATTCTAAGTCACTTACTAGCATATTGCTCAGGACCACTACAAACTCTGTTAGTTTATTTTAGATTCTGTCGCCTTAGTAAAAGTTTTCCAAACATATTCGTGGGTCTTAGTCTTTTCTAAAATCTTACTTTATGCAGTGTAACAAATTATTTTCATCAACGCTGAAATGCTGACGTTAGCTATGTAAACGGCACCCCGGTGACCTGCTGTTTTATTGCTGCTTGTTAGTGACTGACACTACAGAGGAAAAGCAAATGTTATCTAGTTTTTGTAAGAATATCTTAAAAAATAACTATTATATTCAGATCATCAACAAAAAGCTTTATAGTTGAATTTTCTATTCAAATTCCACAGCAAGAAATTTTGATTTAAACAAAAACCAAAGCAGGTAAGAAGTGAGAGCCATTTGTACCTCAAGAATGTAGTTCCATCCCCTCTCATTAAAGACGTCATCCTGGAAATGCTCTTTGTACACTTCTTTGGCCTCCTGGATTTTCTCTTTGGTCACTACCTTACCTGGAAGGACACACAGGTCTTGTTTACATTCTGTGACTTGCTGAGTCACCACAGCCATGCCGTCAGCCCTCTCACCCTTATGATAGGAAAGCAGAGAGGATGAACGAGATTCACCCGCCAAGAGCAGATTCAGAAAGGAAACCTGTACTTCCAAGAGCTCACCCTCACCATAATTGTTCATTATTTTACAAGCACAGGAGCAGCCAAATACAGCGGCTCACACTCATAAATCAAGGACTCGGGGAGCCAAAGCAGCCTGAATTACATGGTGAGGCTCTGTCTTCAAAAAGTAAAACAAGCAAGCAGCTAGAATAGAAAATCACTTGCACACCATCAAAACAAACAAAACCAAACGGCAGTGCTCTTTAGACAGTCCATCTCTTCTTCTCTGTAAAATGAGGATAAGGGGACAGAACCTAGTTACAGGACGATACACAGCTATTTAGAAAACACGGCCTAGAGCAGTTTTGTAAACTACTGATAAGGACATATAATTTAGTGGGGTAGTTTTATAAAAATTTGGCAACAGTAAAAACTTCTGAATCTACAAGAGCCACAAGTTAATTCAAAACCAAACAGGTAATGAATTCAAGGTTTTTTTTTTAATTTATTTTTGGCAGTGTTCACCTGTGTTGGATCATGCAACTTCATCCATCTGGGTCTGAACACACACATGTGCACCTTGCACTGTACACAGCATCACCATGTCAAGTCAACAAATGCTGTAAGTACTATAAAGTTATTTTTTTTAATCAGAAAATGTTTGTATATCTATTTTTATATACTTATATACTCAGAATTGTGCAAAAAATCCCTCAAGAAGGGATTGCCAATGGCAATGGTTTAAGAAGCCCTACTCTAACAGGCAATCGACACACACACACACACACACACACCCCTATAATAATTTACAAAGTTATAGAAATAAATATTCTCTACTTTTAGAAACCAGTATCAACTGCTGTATTTAAGACCCTGTGCACTCTCCTTCCATACAGCAGGACCTTTACACCTCGCTGGGTTTTCAGTAATGCAGCAAGCCTGCTCTATCTGACCTTAAAACAGCTATCATTTGCGTAAAATTAAGCTTAACCTATACTCAACTGAAATTGTTTTTGCTTTAAAAATTAAAAATTTTCAGAAGTATAAGGTCTTTGGAACTGGTTTCCTGCGTAGAAACTTCATTACAAAATATACTATAAGTGATCTCAGCAAACAGCCAATCCACCTCTGAAAATTACTGGGAGGATTTTCGTGTTTAAAACGCATTTTAAAATTAAACCCACTATTGTAAACAGTTTTGAAAAATAAAACTGTAAGATATATCTAAAGCAACAAAAAAATATTCTAGTTATATCTACCGTAATTCAAAATGATTTTCCAGATCAAAAACAAACCTCTTGCCCTGACTCAACGGCTCAGTCTATCAGTAAATGAGAATGGCTTCTGAACATTACCGCCCTAAACTTTCTTTGGAAAATCATCAGTTTCAGAAAACCTTTCTCTAACTTAAAACATCCAACGCAAACACCAAATTCTAAGTCTTAGTGCATTCACAGAAACAGGTCATAATTTTTATAAAAGGCAGCATAGTGGTAGTTCAACAATTATAAACACTTGGGAGGCCGGAGCAGAACTGCCATGATTTTGAGGACAGCCTGAGCAACTCCCTGTGTTTAAGGCCAGCCTAGGCTACAAAGTAAGGCCGTGTCTCAAACAAAAGAAAACAACTCCTAAAGTGGTGATCAAATATAATGAAATATCAAAATTAGGTTACTCGAAAAGTTACTTCAAAGAACAGAACATAATACAGAAAAAAATAGGAAGTCACATGAAAGCAGTGTTTTAAATGTACGAGGAAAAGCAATACCTTTTAAGTACTTATTAAGAATGTACTGCAACCCATAAAACACTGTTTCCTCGTATTTCACCTTCCTTACTTTGGAGTTTTCTATCTTCTTTTCACGGCATTCAAAGTAGGAATAAACTTTGCTTGTGTTGGGAGGGTATTGTTTATAGTGAGTAACCTACAGAAAGAAAGACACCTTCATTAGGAAACACTAAGAGATTAAAGCACAACAGACAAGTCTTCAGTTTATCTCCAATCAGACCGTTTCTTACTTGCTATTGATCAACCTACCCACCCTGGCCACACAGCACAAGAGACTATGATCCTGCTAATAATTCCTTATCTTACCATCAAAACAAAAGTGACCGAAGAGATTAGACCCAAGTATGTTCAAAGCCATAGGGTTGAGTGGATCTCACTTGATCTTGGGGTGCAGCCCTTTCCAGTCTGAGACACACACCTTATCGAACAAACCAAGGAAGCAGTTCAGGCAGGCTGTGTACGTACTTGTTTTTGCTTTGTGAAAGGTTTGAGACTGGTGGTACTTCAGATATGGGGTTCTAGAGTACGTGGCTGTATTTGTATTTTGGGGCTAGGACCTGTCTACCTGAGAGAAATACTTTCACCTTTTTTGTGTGTATGTGCATGCGTGCGTATGGAGGCCAGAGGTGGATTTCAGGTCTTTCTCCGTGTGTGTGTGTGTTTGTGTGGTCTGTGTGTATGTGCATGTATGCATATGGAGGCCAGAGGTGGATTTCAGTTCTGCCTTCGTCATATCCGTTTTATTTTTGAGACAGGATCTCTCATCAAACCTGGAGTGCACCAGTTTGGCTAGACCAGCTGGCCAGCAGGCCCCGGGGTCTTTGCAGCACGTACCAACATGGCTGCTTTTCACATCAGGCGCTATAGATCAAGCTCAGGTCCTCGGGCCTGTGCAGCAGGCACTTTACTGACTGGGCCATCTAGAATTCTGGCCCAGATTCTGACTGTGACCGGGTTTTGGAATTTTGCCCCTGTGACACCCACGCTCAAGAAGTCCTAATTTTGGATCAGGAATGCTCAGTCTATTCCACAGCTATCTAATGTGCCAAGTGTGGCCAGTCAACGTCTTCTCAGAAGCCGCTTCTTTAAGTAACTATGAGGGTGAGCTCGGCTGCCATGGTGTCTACAGAAACCTGGACGAAAGCACAGCAGCAGCAAGTGAAACAGCAAACAGAAAGCCCGTTTTAGGTGCTGGGATGGTTGACCTGAGATCAACCCTGGGACACACATGGTAGGCGAGGACAGATTCCTCCAGGTCACTCTCTGACCTCCACAGGAGCACCATGTACACGTCCCTACACAGATACAAAATGTAGTGAGACATTTAAAAACATAAGCGGAACCTCCTGTTTCGTTATTTCTCAAACTGCCTCCTGACTGAATAGTATGTTCCTACTAGATCTTACGTATGACTTTAAAAACATGAAATTTTTATGTTTTTAAATTCAGCCTGAGGAACGTTCAGCATCCACTAGAGCTTCAGTTTTACTGTAGTGTTTTTGTCACTCTAAGGCGATTGTACAAATAAGGCATTTATTTTAAAATTTACAAATTTATTTATAAATAAATGACTAGGAGTAGTGTGTGTCTGTACAGTGTTAAGAATAGAAAAACGTTCAAATGTAAGGTACAGGGTAAATGACAGCCATGGTGGCCAAGTGTCACAGGTGTCAGGGTCCACACCGTGTCTCCTCATTTCAAGTTTAGGAAAGCCAGTGTTTCTCTGGCTGTAGAATGTCAATCTCAGAGAACTTGGCTCTATCTACAGAATCTTTGTAGCTTAGCATTAGCATTCTAAAATAAATGCATGTCTACTGCCACTTCTGAATGACCATTCTCTGTATGCCGTTCCCAGCAAAGCAGGCTTGGAGCTCCCCTTCTGCAGCACACAGGCAAACGTGTGTGTGTGTAAACCTCTAGAGTAACGTAGGCTTTGAGGGCCTGAGTCCTGCAGAGGGCTGCAGCTTCTTGTTAGGCACAGATAAAAACAACAACAAAAACAAACCCTCTACAATAAAAGGCACAGGGCATCCTGAGCTAAACACAGACACCCTGGACTTTAAAGGTCGGAGCCCAGGGACTGACTCATCACTGTCAGTTTAAGGAAAGCCACAAAAAAAAAAAAAAAAAAGGGAGAAAGCTAATACAGAACCCACAGTAATTAAAGCTATTAATCCACCACAATGCAAAAAAAAAAAAAAAAAAAAAAAAAGAAAAAGAAAAAAAGCACCGAAGTTAGGTATATTTATAAATATTTCAGTAGTCACTGAGGTGGGAGAAAAGTAAAACTGCACACAGGACTGGATGACACAGTGCCAAGTCCCTAAATCCAGGGTCACAGCTGTTTCTCACAGCACCCACCTGACCCGAGTCAGTTCTGACCCACAGTTCACGTACTTCAGTGTCTTCTACCAGAACGGACAAGTCCGTAGGCTTTGGATGGGTCAGTGGATACACACTTGCTGCGTAAGCCTGAGGAGCACTGGACCCCCAGCACCCACCAAGTGCAGGCAGGTGTGGTGGCCCAACTGCAGCCCAGCACTGGGAGGTGCAGACAGGGTCCACAGAACACACCGGCTTGCTCGGACTAGCCAAGTCGTTGAGCTCTCTGTACAGGGGAGACCCAACCTCAATGTGCTATTCTGGAGAACAACTGAGGAAGATATCAGACATTAATATCTGGCCTACAGACAATACCTTACGAACAGAAAGCCCAGAAGCATGCAGACACACACACACACACACACACACACACACACACACACACACACACAAATATGTGACCTACAGACAATACCTTACGAACAGAAAGCCCAGAAGCATGCACACACACACACACATTAATATCTGGCCTACAGACAATACCTTACGAACGAACAGGAAGCCCAGAAGCACGCAAACGCAAACACACACACACACCCGAACACATACAAACACACCACAGGCATTTAACGATTGAAGCTTTTGTTTAGGATGTATTTCTAAAATGGTGCTTTAAAACCCACTTTTGCCTACATATACATAAAATACTACATACAGGAATGGTTCCTATGTTAAAAAAGATACAATTTAAAACATGAAGTCTCACAGGCTGCTGAATTAGAAATGAACCATATTCTACAATTTTAAGAGAAATTTTAAAATTATTTTAGAGAATACAGGTAAATAACTTAGACTGTCTATACAAATTCAAATCTGCAGGTAATTAACCATGGAAGAGAACACACCCAATATGTTGTTTGTGGACTAATACATCAGTGTTCAGATTTAGAATATACATAGTGGTCAAGGGCACTATTTTTTAATTAATTAATTTTTTCGAGACAAGGTTTCTCTGTAGCTTTTGTAGCCTGTCTGGAACTAGCTCTTGTAGATCAGGCTGACCTCAAACTCACAGAGATCCGCCTGCCTCTGCCTCCCAGCGCCTCCCAAGTGCTGGGATCAAAGGCTTGCACCACCACCGCCAGGCAAGGGTACTATTTTTAAACATTTTCTTAGTAAACGTTACTCTAAGAACACAGTCCACAGGCACGAACTCCAGCTTTACCAGTTTATTTTCTGCTCCAGTGGCCACTGGCCCTTCACATGGGCTATGACATAACTCCAGTCAACTGACTCACAGACACATAACCTGTTTGTGCCATGTGCCAGGCTTACTGCTTCAGATGGTGAGGGGAGGAGTAGAATAGGCTGATGTGGCCCCACTTCTTGTAGGGCTAACGAGAAAGTTAAGAGAAAACATACTCAGACAAGGCAATGCCAGATTAAGATGGACAGAAAGAAGTGGGCAAGTGTCTTTAAAAGGAACTGGGGAGATCTGGCTGGGCGGTGACATGTGAAAGAAGCCAAATGAAAAGACAGGAATCTGTTTGACACGAGGGACGGAACAGAATAATGGCCAATGTAGTTGGTCCTTGGACCTGGCAAGGCTGGAACAGGTAGAATCATACGTATACACAGGTGCTGAGAGGAGCGCTCCCTGTGTTAAGTGCAGTGGGAAGCCATCAGGTTTTAAGTTGGGGTAAATATAACCTGATTTGCATTTTTTTTTAATGCTGGGAACATCATCAAAACATCATCAACAAATAGTAAGTAGATGTTCTAACCCCGAGCTACAACTTCTAGGCCTTTCTCACAACCTTATGTGGAAGGGTGTGCCACATACACAAAATAATAAACAATCTGGCACAATAGGAACGTGCCAGGAAGGAAGAAGCTTCTGAACACAACTAAGCCAGATGAGCAGACAGACACCTACCTAGCACTTGTGGAGGTAAAGGAGAATTCGAATTGGATGCGGAAGAATGAGACATTACAGATGCCTCCTGGAGTCCGGCTTGAGCACCCTGGGTTATCAATGGCACCATTTAAGCCAGAGATAGTGAGTGGTGCACACCTGTGATCCCAGCATTTAGGCAAGGTAGAAAGACTGCCTTGGACCAAAGGCCAGCCTGGGCTACCTAGAGAATACCAGGCCAACCACAGGTACGTAGCAAACCCTATCTCAGCTCCTCCTCAAAGAAAGGGTTCCATTTACTGAATCAATGAAGACTGTGGGAGGAATGAGTAGGTAAAAGCAAGAGTTCAGTGTGCAGCGTCACTAGTAAGTTTCATATTCTCAGAATTAAGTGTATGAAAAGGAAGTTCTTGAATCCTGTTAATTTCTGCACTTTGATTTCTACTGCTAGAGAAAATGAAACACAATTCTTCACATTCCTAGACAACTGATCTCTGGACTGGCAGGGCCCTCCTTGGCGAAGAGAGCCCTGTGAGGTTCACAGGAGCCCAGGAACAGGCTTTAACAGAACTTCATCCCACTCGCCTTCCTGGAAAACAGAGAAGCTCAGGGGTTACGAGACTGGAGTTCAGTTCCCAGCACCCACATGGCGGTGCACAACTGTCTGTAACTCCAGTTCCCGGGGATCCAAAGGCACCTAGCACACATGTGGTAGAGACACGCATGGAGACAACATATCCACATACATGAAAAAGCTTACAGGCTTCTAAAATGATTAGGTGCTAGACAGTAACTTCCAGTGCCTGGAACAGAAAGACTCGCCCCATGTTTTACGAGAATGTTTGTCAAACAACTGATCGATACAGTCCACTTTCAAGGATCCGCCCTCGACCTACTATGACAGTGGGGCTGGGATGGAGGCATATTTAAGGTAAGCAGAATCCTCCTGCGGGAAATCAGGTATAATTTTCTCTAGATTAGGCTGGTCTGATGGCTTCCCAAGATCTTGCCACCCAAACTGGTATCACATTGCCAAAGGCAACTGGGACCTGCCTACTTTTCCAGTCACACGTGTCCAAGTGACACTATCTGTGATACCTACAGCACAAGAGGAGCCACTAGCCCCCATCATCCTGCCCTCTGCCTCACTACAGCAAAAAATTTAATCGGTTCTTCTGCTTTTCAGGAGTCGTTAAGGTGTGTGACGCTCTGGGAATTTGCTGCCACAGAAAATAACTTGTTGCTATTTAGCCCTGGAGCCTAAACTACTCCATCAATACTTGCAGGCGTTGGGTTCTCTTTCCACCACGTGGATGCCCAGCTAATGTAAGCCACCAGGCTTGGTAGCAAGCATCCTTCTTTATCTGTGGCTGCCAGCTGCACTGCTTGATTTCTATTGCTCAAATTTCCCCCACGATTTATAAAGCTTACTTGAAAACATACATACAAATGTCACTGTCTTCTTTGAGACGAGGTCTCATGTAGCCCAGGCTGGCCTCCCACCCCTTCTTTCTCAGTGCTAAGATCACAGAGCTATGTCACGATGACTGACACAAACATGTCTTTAAGGACACACCAGAAAAAGAATACAGAACCCCTCCTCCTTGACAAGCTCGGGGGCCATGGGTCCACGTTCCTGATCCATTAGTGCTCTCTCGGAAGCACTCGAGAGGTAAGTACAAAAGGTGGGGAGTCAGCGAGAGGGAAATACTGCAAGTTTCAGGCAGAACTCACTTCATCACAGGATGCTCACTCTCCAAACCTCTTCTGCAATAATGCTCGGCTTCCTGTGTTCCTCACCATCGAAGAACACAAGAACTGACTGCTTCATTGCTACAAGGAAGTCAAGCAGTTCTCTGAAGAGCCAGTAAAGATAACCCTTCTCCACCCGGGACTGTAAGATGCCGCTGCTGCCCGCCGTGCCTCCACTATGTGTTGATGTGTGATTGAAAAGTGCTGAGTTCTAGACAGCTGGCCGAGAAGGCCCCCGAGGGGGTAGCCAGGACCTGAACATCACTGAAGGACTACTTTTGTGTATCCCGTCTTTTCCAGACACAGCACAAATGACAATGTCTTCTGCTAATCTGCTGGAGATAAAATGTTGAAAAATGTTACAACTGTTCTCTACCGTAGGCGCTTACAAACAAAATATGTACAGTTTTGTGGAATTTCTGTGTGGGATAGAAGAAAGGCATCTTTTAACTGCTTCCTGGCTATTTGGAAACTGACCATCCCAGCAGTACGCTAAAAACGAAAAGGCATGCCTCCCTGACAGGAAAGCTCCGGATGCAACCTAACTACTGACTACATGGGCTCACATCCATCTTCCCGAGCTGGGTCAGTAAATGTCACTAAAGCTGGGTGGCTATTCGTGCCTTAAGCTACTCTGAAAATACAACGATTAAAGACGGAAAAGAGTGGCACCCGCCTGTGTTCTCCGCTCCTTACTGCACACGACGAAACACGAGATCACAGAAATGGAAGTGTGCTCCAAACCCTCCTCCTCCGGCCCCGAGTGTTCTGTGCTTTCCTAAAGACACCCTGAAAATGGATCCCACATGTTGCTATAAGCTTGGCCACCACCTTATCTACTTTGTGTGGCTTAGGAAATGATTTTCCTTTTAGTTTTAGAAAAAAATCTCTTCATCAACATCCAGCCACTCTCCTCTAAACAGTCGAGAATTTTTAAGAACTGACAAGAACTTGTGATCTCCAAATCAAAGAATTTTCATTACCTGTAATCTCAAGTATTTTTTGCTACCTATCTAAGATAAAAAGGCAAAAAGGGGGGGAATGCCCAATAAGAATGGGCAGAAATAAAAATTATACACAAATTGTAATCATGCAGATAAGCACGACTTGCTAGGAGGTTAGAAAGCTTTCAGATTTTTCATTAAGTAAAAGCAGCTCCAAAACACCACAAAAGCTGCTGCTAAGCAGGGTTGCATCACCGGTATTTTTGAGACACTATGTAGCTCTGGATGTTTATTCTTCACTGGGTAAGCAGGCTAACCTGGAACTCAAGAAGCCTGCTTCTTGAAGATATGCTCTCCCAAGCCTGGCCCTTTAAAAGTTCACACTTACTCTCTGTTTATACTTCCCGTTAGATTCAGTCATTTCATCCAGAACTAGTTAAAATACCTGAAAATTATTTTACAAAATCACGAGTGAGCCTATCCTAAAATCACTAAGGGTGCCCAAAGCACCTCCCCCAAACTAAGTCAAATAGAGTCTTCAGAGTCTTAAGTACCACAGTAGAAACGGGAACGATTTTTTCCACTGGAAGCCAGGCATGGTATAGCGCACGCCTTTAATCCCAGCACTCAGAAGGCAGAGGCAGGTGGATCTCTGAGTTCCAGGCCAGCCTGGTCTACAAAGTGAGTTCCAGGCCAGCCAGGGGCTTCACAGAGAAATCTGTCACAAAAAAACAAAATAAAATAAAAATTCCAATTGAAAGACCACCTGTTGATAAATCTTGTATCTATTTAAATAGATTACAAAGAAATAGACAAACTAGAATGTAAGTAAAATGGAACTCTGTAACATTCAGATTATAGGGTTAAAAAGTAAAAAGCGAAGAACCAAAACAAAGCCACAAGAGTACTATATCTAATCAGTGTACACTCAAAACCAACACGGTGCTTGAGTAAATACTAAACTTCAAAGCTAAAATTTATTTATAGTGGGGGTCCTAGTCTGATATTTTACCCTTAAGCGTTTTGGCTAACAAAATTTAGCTTAAGCTCACGTAATCGTAGGGTATTTCCTCCTTACTCCTCCCTTTACTAAGGTGCATTTCAAGTGGAAATATTGCAAGAGTCAATTCAAAAGGCACCATCAAGCATTGGGCCATTTCCCTCCCCCCACAAGTCCTCCAGGGTTAAAACTCCAGTTCCTCTACCTCCCGGTCTTTCACTTTCCTTTTCACAGAAATGCCGTAGTGACCCTGAAGAGCCAGAGTACACCGGCCTCTGCAACCAGGGACCGGGCGCGTGAACGATCCCTAGAGTTTGAAATGCAGCCCAGCGGAGTGGAAGGCTGAATCAGACGCGGTTCCCCGAGCCGGGTTTGTCCTCCACGCTGGGGGCCACCGGCTGGGTGCGGGGCTCGCCGCCAGGACCTCTCCCAGCGCTCCCCCGGGCAGGGACGTACCTGCCCGGCCCGGGGCTGTTACCTAACCAGCCCGATCGTCCGTCGGGAGGTCCCATCCAGTCCACCCTGCCGGGGCGCCCAGGCCGCCGGCAGCCGCAGCCGCAGCGTGCGCCCATCCCGCCGAGCCTCCGGCCGCGCCCCCGCCGCGGCGCAGGCCCCGCCTCCGGCCCGTGCCTCCATCCTCCAGCCACCGCGCTGCGGCGGCTCCTCCACCTGCCCCATCCCACCGCCCGAGACCCCGTCAGCCCCCCGGCCCCGAGGCCCACGCCGCAGCTCCACCTTGTACGAGTCGGTGGCCAGCAGGATGTTGAACTCGGCTTCTGCCGCAGCATTCATCTCGGGCCGGAGCGGAGGCGCCGAGCGCGCCACGAGCTGCCCGGCGCGGCTGAGAGCAAGGAGGAAAAAAAAAAATGGGCTTCGCTGCGCTCCGTTGCTTAAGTCACCGCTCGCTCGCCCGGGGGGAGGGGAGAGGGGGGCGGGAGAGCCGGGAACGGAGCGAGCGCGCGGGGAGGGGCCCGGAGGGCGGGCGGGACCGTGACGCGGCGGCGGCGGCGGCGGAGGCTCACGCGCTCCCCCAAGCCCAGCGCTCCCGCGGCTTCCCCGGCTGGGCTCCCGGGCCCCGCCCACCCCGGGGGACGAGGGGCGGGGCGCGGCCGCGCGTGCGCAGCGCGGGGGGCGGGGCCGTAGAGGACGTGAGGCACGCGCTCGGCCGCCGGGGCCCGCCCCCCAGGCCCGAGGTCGCGGGTCAGCCCGGCGCGTGACCTGGGACTCCAGGGGCGTGGCCTGCTGCGAGGGCGGGTCCAGGGCGTTCCCAGCCACGCCCCTCCTGCCGGGAACCTTTGTCCCGCCCCGCCCCGCCCTGGACCGTGCTCTGCTCCTGCCCAGTGCCCGGCTCGTCCCGGGAGTCTGGTTGGAGTCACGCCACCCGGTCCCCGCACGCGCTGAATTACCTTTGTCTCCCGCTTGGAGGATGGATGGAGCCTTTGGTCCCATCTCTCTTGTCTGTCGTGATCATTTACAATCCGAGAGGCTGCGTGAGGTCTGGATTCGCATGGCTGTCTGGACTTGCTTTCCTCCCCGCTCTGTAGAGCTGTAGCCGGGCTCTTTGACCCTTTGAAAGCGGTTTGATTTTTTCTGAAGAAAATAGTTTGCGTCTAAAGGTCTAAAGGAGAAGGTTAAATTCAGCCCTCTCCGACAATGCAGGGATAGGACCAAACTGAATCTAATATTGTTGGGAAATAAAAGGCAACCGGCCAAGTCTTTGATAGCTGATTTTTTTTTTTAATCGTTAAATCCTGGGAAAAAGAGCTTGCAACCTCCCATAAAAGGGAAATGACGTTTGCTGACGTCATCCAACTTCCATGAAACCATCCTCTTGCTCAGTTTTCATGTACGTAGTTGCAATTTTTTTTGTATAAAACTAAAATTCCCTTTGCATGTTTAATAGCATTTAAGAATTCTGAGATCTGGGTGTGATTTTTAGTTTGTTTTAGTAGAAAACAAGTAACAAGAGAAACTCAGTAAAACCTAAACCCGGCAAGGGCCCTTATAGACACCATCAAGTTAGTAGCTTCCTGTAATCCTTCCATTTACAACTGACAGCTGTTCTAGGCTGTTTCATGCAGAAAAATAATTAGGATTCTGATTACAGAGTAGCCTTTGTTTATGGTAGTGTTTTTTAAAAGCAAAATCTGTACTTGCAATCTTTGCGTTTTCTTATATAAAATAAAAAGCCCAAAATGTAAGAACGCTAACATTGTATGTTACTGACATTGCTGGTTAAGTTCAAGAATGTCTGCAGAGCATTGTGGGCTCAATTCCAGGGCAATCTTTAGAGGAAAAGCTGCCAATGAAGTTGTTAGGGTTTTGATCTTAAATGTCCCTCGAAGACCTGTTTGCCAGCATCTGAGTGGTAGTGGGGAGCGGAACAACTTTAAGAGTTGGGATCTGGCTGGAGGCACTTCTGTAACGGGGGAGATGGGAGGTTGGGAAGGTCTCATTCCCTTCTCTTTCTCTTCTGTGGGATGCACCATGCCACCACAAGTACAAAGCAACAGGGCCAAGCAACTGTGAACTGAATCTCTCTACTTTCAAAGATTTCCTCGGGTGCTTTGTGGAAGTGATGAAAGCTGACTAACAGAAACAGGTTACCGATAGAACACCACCTTGCCAGAGGTGGAATTCAGCATACTCTCATACAACTGAGTGTTTAGACCAGATCAGCTTTGAATTAATTAGGGTTTGGAACTGTGATAGGAACCTACCACCAAATACAAAACCAAGTTCATTTTGAAATAATATATACTGAAGGATAACTTGAAAGCAGTATTTAGTTAGCGCCTTTATTTAGTAGCAATGTAAGAAATCTGACAGACTGTTTTTTCATGGATTATTGCAGCACAGATAATAAATACCCAGATTCAAATAGGTCCCTTCTGCTTTTCCAAAGTCTCGGGTCATTCCTTCCGCATACAGTCAAGCACAGCGGATCGGGCATCGGGTTTTTCTGTGATCAAAATGATTCTAAGCCCCTCCAGTTCTTCAGGCAACCTCTGATACCATTTCGTATTTTAAGGTTGCTTCAGATACTTCAAACATGTAATTTCACCTCATCAAACAAACAAACAAACAAACAAACAGAAATCAAAACAGCAAACCATGGAGAAGTAGATGTAGAACTCTCCCATCTCCAAATCCTGACAACGGCACCCTCCTCTCTCTCCATCCCCTCCAGATTCATCCGTTAGCCGCAACAGTGCTATGGGACAATGGGCTGCACCCTGTCACTTGTATTTTAATATAATGCTGATTGGCCAGTAGCCAGGCAGGAAGTAGAGGTGGGCAACCAGAACAGGAGAATTCTGGGAAGAGGAAAGGTCAGTCTGCGGTCATCTCCCAGACTCAGAGGAAGCAAGATGAGAATGCCTCTCTGATAACAGGTACAAAGCCACATTGCCTTGGTCATGGTGTTTTGTCAGGACAATAGAAAAGTAACCGAGACAATGGGAACATAAATAGCAAAGTTAAAATGTTTAGGTTCACCTTTAAGGGAATGGTAAATATAGACATGTTACAATGTTGTGTGGGGTTCAGTCATCATCGTTACTTAGAAATTTTCCTGATAGCTACTTAAGCATCAATAGTCCAAACCAATGGCTGAAAATAAAGCTTGTTAGGGTTATTAGAGGATTTTTAAAATTAATTATTTTCATAAATGAGATGTGCTTACCACTGATACTGTAGGAGATGAACTTAATGGTATTCAAAGAGGCATTCTTAATTTTAATAATTATTTTAAGTCATATTAGAAAAATGTAACCGATAGACTCTGATTTTCTTTAGGTGTTTTTACTTGGATGACTTGCAATGAAGGGCACTCAGATGTGAGACATCTTATCTTTGACCTTCTCTAGCCTGTATCTGACACATGAAGAATATTTCTGAAGAAACTGAAACATGAAAGATTGCATCTTGTACAAATTCTATATGAAATTCTAGAAAAAGGCAAAAATATGGGAAAGAGAGAAGGTTAGTGGCTGCACAGACTGAAGTTAAGGGAAGCAGATTCAGTGGACTCTACATTAATTTTGTGATTTATAAATAACTTTGATGTCCAAAACTGAACAAAGATGACCTTCCTCCTTGGAACAAATCTGACTTCTGCCTCAGCCTCTCCTGTCCTGCGTTTTTATGTTTTCATTTTCATGTCTCATAGTTTTTATCTTGTTTGTATGATTAGGCAATGGATACTATTTTACCACGATTAGGTAAAGGATATCCTTCAATGTTTATAATATCCCGGTACCAAAAGAGCGGACATTCCTGTTAGTGAGCAGCAATTAGGACAAAGAACTAATCCAAATATGATCGACCCAAGAGGAAAGCATCAGCACCCAGCGTAGACATCACATTGTACTCGAAGCACTGAGGGCTTCAAAAGCAGACTGTCTATTATCGTGACCTCTTTACCTTAGCAGCTACCAAGCAATTGGGATTGTCAGTGGAGGGAGACAGAACCAGAGGCAATTTACCGTCCCTAGTTAACTCAGCATTTGATTGCAAGATCAATATAAAATTGCAGGTAGACACAACCCTGCTCTCCAGGGACAACTCCTGAGGAACAGCTGAAGCTTGGGTGATGTTCATTTAGCCGGTTCCCATGCTCTCTGCTCTTCCAGATGGAGCATTTCCCAGCAGTGAAACCATAGCCTGCAGTAGTCTGGCTTTGGATCATTAAGTCCTTGGTTTGTACCACACTTACTCCCCTCCCTCTACACTAGTTTGTTGGGACCAGCCTTGACAAAAATACCACTTGCAAGAATAGAGGCATGGGGATCAGAAATCCCCCTGCCTCTGACTCCCAAGAGCTGGGAGTAAAGGTGTGAGTTACCACTGCCCTTTGAAGAAAGTTCACCTTTAATTTTATGCTTTATACTTGACTAGCATAAAGATCCATTAGTAAATCCTGTTTTTTTATTCAAGATTTATTTATGTATATATGCTCTGTCCTCATGTATGCCTGCAGGCCAGAAGAGGACATCAGATTCCCTTATAGATGATTGTAAACAATCATCTTACAAAGGAAAACATTTAATTAGGGTGGCTTACCGTTCAGAGGTTTAGTCCATTATAATGGTGGGACATAACAGTATACAGACAGACATGGAGCTGCCACTGGAGACAGATGTGCTGAAGCTTTGCTGGTAGGGCACGACCTCATGGTGATGCACAGATTAATGGAGATGGGTTAAATTATCTAGCCAATAAGAAGCTAGAGCTGATGGGCCAAGCAGTGATTTAAATAAAACAGATTCTGTGTGATTATTTCTGGTTTGAGCTGCCAGGTGGCCTATTACAACAACACTGATCCACCTAAAATCAGGTTAAGAAGATGGGAGGAATAGTTATCCTCCCCAGACACCCTGCTCCCTATGCAGTGGCTGACAGAGTCACTACCAAGCAGCTCCACTTACAATGCACTGATAGAGAGCATGACACAATTATGAGCCAGCTGTCCATAGCAGACGCATTATGTCATCCGGAACCCTCGTATTCCCCCTTCAGCTTCTCTTCCCATTTTACTTAACAGTTATTTAAAACGTTTGCCCTTCTGCTCAAATTCTTGCATCCAAACTTCCCCCTTGTCTAAGAAGATGATAAAACTGCCTATGGTTTAGGTAAAACTTAGGCCATCAGGTAGGAACTCCCTAGCCAATAATAACTATAGGAGCAGAGGTATACCTTATGTACGTATCTGTTCCCAAAAAGAAGTGTAGTGATAGACACATGTTAAGGGGTTAGTAAATATTTACTGAACCAACCAAGGTAGCCCTGTGGCATATGGCGTTATTCACTCAGATCTGAAGTCCCTTTTTAATTCCTGTGCTCATCCATATTCACAGCCCCTCTTCTACATTCCCACTTTGCTGAGCTTAGTTTTGATCCTGTGAGTGGCCCAAGACAATGTGTGGGGGGAACATTATGAACTAG